TGCCTAGGGCAGTGATTTTTGACCTTCTTAATTCTTCAACCCTTTAACATAGTTCCTTCATGCTGTGGTGACCCAACTATAAAATTATTTTCATTGTTATACTTCATAACTATAATTTCGCTATTGTTATGAATCATAACATAAAATAGTTCTGGAGACAGCAGTTTGCCAGGGGAACCATGACCTACAGGTTGAGACAGATTGGCTTAGGAGCTATTATGTGATAGAATTTTATATAATATGTATGTTCATCCTTGAGAGACCCAGCAGAGATTGTCATGTAAGCCAGAGTCCATCAGCTCACAAGCTTTGGGGATCTGTCCTCCGACATCCCTGTGCTATTTGTGTTTTTAGCCATTAACAGTAAAAAAAAAAAAAAAAAAAAATGTGGGTTAAATTACTACGGTCATGACTGCATATAATACTATACATAGATTTGTTTTTTTTTTAATAGTTTTGTAGAAGACTATAAGTGCTAAAGACAGAGCTCAGTTCAGTTGAGTGTTTACCTAGCCTGTGCAAGGCTCTGGGTTTGAACTTCAGCACCACAGGACACTCCTACCAACAAAAAACAAAACAACTTGCACATATACTAAAATTTCTTTTGAGAAATAAACATAAACCTTCCACTAAACAAAACACCACTTTTCAATTCTGCACCACATAAAATGTGCACGATTAATATATGACTACAGATCATTAAAAAGACTTTCAAAAGCTAAAATTTTAAATCGTATGAAGATTACCTATATAAGGAATCATTTAAAAAAAATCTGAGAAGGTCATGGATGGCCTGAACTAGAGATCCTCCCCTGCTTCAGCCCCTATAACTGCTGGACTCACAGTCTGAGGCAAAGGTCTGGACCCATTGCTTCTCTCCGTTTTTAGTACCGTCTTTTGCCCCTAGTATTAGGCCAGGCAATATACGTCTGCTTTTTTCCTAACTGCTCTTTGCAAGGATCTATCAATTCTTTACAGTTTGGCTAAACGTATACGCATAGATTTACTCTCTTGTAAATTGCATATAAATCCATTTATCTCATATTACAGAATAAAATGATTATACCTTTTCTGGAAAAAAATAAGTATGCAAGGAAAATTAAGAACAACGGCCAAAGAAACTTCTCTGTAAATGATATGGTATCTCTGATTGTAAAAATTACCATAATCCTTTTCTTCTCTGAAATGAAGACAGGGAGATAGGGAAAGATTGTTTGGTATGCTTTATCTTTTTAACCCCAGCACTTGTCTGTATCAGGAAATCAGAGCTTTGTTATTCATGTGGCTACAGCTTATGTATTTGACTTTCTGCCCTTTTCATCATTATCACCTGGCCAGATACCAATTTCAGCTGCTCCTAGTCAGTCTGCCTGCAGAGCAGCTAGGCATCAGAGGCAAGGCTTACAGGCTCCCTGCTCACAGGAGAGGACAGGACAGCTGCAGAGATGGCCTTCCCCAGTACATATGATGACGTGAACACTGACACCAAATGTGCCTGACAGTTCTGTGCCTTGTCAACCTACTTTAGCATACACCATTTTGTCAGAGAGTTAAGGAGATGGAGGAGTGGAGTGCCTACTAACACAAGCTTCAGCTCTGATGTCCTAAGAGGTAGAAGTATGTTATGATCTTCAGAATGATGAAAAATGCTATTGGATCCTAAAGAAAATTTAGTACATGGAAAAAAATAAAGTCAAACCAAAAACATGCTTTGTCTCTATAAAAGCTAAAATAATCAAAATATATTATGAAAATTGCTTTGCTGTTATGCCTAATTACCTTGCAGCACAATAATGATTACAAGATTATTTTGATCAGTTTAACTTTGACCAGAATAATTATAACTGTGTATTCCAAATATTTAGGCGTTGAGATTTATTGTTTTTAAACAAACATTTACTAAGCTCCTTTATTTGTTTGGCACTACATTGGGAATAACAGTTACTCTCTGATCCACAGAATCAACCAAACAGGGCTATAGGTGCTCACAGAGACTGAATAATAATCACAGGCCATGTATGATCTAAGCTAGGTCGTCTGCATATACATTACATTACAGCTTGGTGTTCTGGTGGGACTCCTAATAGTGTGGGGCGGAGGGGCGGAGAAGGTCTCTGATGTTTTTGCCTGTGCTTCGGACCCTTTTCCTCCTACTGGGTTGCCTTGTCCAGTTTTGATATGAGGGGTCTGTGCCTGGGCTTATTGTAATTTGTTATCAGTCTTATTGTGAGAAATAACACAAGCAAGCGTCTAGTGGAGACTGACCATAGACAACACACACACATCAATTTTTTTTTCCTTTGGGGGTCTGGTTTGAGACAGGGTTTCTCTATGTAGCTATGGCTATCCTGAAACTCATTCTGGAGATTCGAGCCTGCTGGCCTCAAACTCAAGAGATTCACCTGCCTCTTCCTCCTGGGTATTGGGAATAAAAGCATGTGGTCACTATTGCCCAGCTCACCATTTTAAATAAAAGTAAGGATGTCATAAGAATATCTTTGATATATATAAAGGGTTAGCAAAGCTGATTCTGAAGAACAACAGTTAGTCAGAAGGGAAGGTTAGAATGACTTAGAACTCTAAGGCAGAATACACAGGAAATGCATTGGCCTCAGACTTGAAAACTAAAGGGACTGCATGCGGTGTCGCTCCCCTGAAATACACGTACATGGAGTCTTAAGACAGTGAAGGTTAAAGAAGTAAGAGTCAAGTGAAAGAGAGGCCTTGACTTTTAGGCTAAAGAGCTGGCAATTTTCCTGCTACGGAGGAAGCACTAAAACTCGGCCAGGATAATGAGGGTTCAGATGGACTTTCAGATGAACTGCTTTGGCTTCAGCGTGTGGAATAAAGTGGTGGCGCTCACCACCGCAGGCCTGTCAGAAGCCGGCTGAAGTCATTTCAGTAATAGATTCTGGGAGGATCTAGGTTAGGCTGTGAAGAATCGAGGGAACTGGATGGAGCTGACAGATATGTAACAGTCACAACAGAAATGTCTTAGTGATTGATTGGCTATGGGAGAAAAGGGGGGTACTTGAGGATGGCTTTCTGACTTAGGCAAAGACATTGCAGAATGTCATTTACTAAGAGAGAAAACAGGCAGATTGATAAGGCTTTGTTTTTACTTTCTATTGATTTTGGCAGTGGACCTAATAAATCATTAACTTAACTAACTTAACTTACTGAGTTTTAACTGAACTGAGACTTATTTGTCTAGAGAGCCACGGCATGTTAAGGAGTGCATAAATCCAAGGCTAGGGAGAAATCTCAATTTAGATATATATTTAAAATACAACACTTTACATCATTTGAAGCCGTCATACAGCAAAATGATACTAGCAACTTAAAGAAAAACAAGTTTTTTTGAGATGAGCCAAGTAAGAACTCAGAAAAATATAGAGAAGTTATAACCACAAGTAAAAAGAAAACGTAATCACAAACGTCAAGAACAGAGACTATTTTAAGAGAGAGCAAGTAGCCAGCAAAGGAAAGTGCAAGACTATGGGCCGGTACCATAGATTCTGGAAGGAAATATAAATATAATCAAGAAGAACGCTATTATGCACATCTACTGAGACAAAGGACAGCATGCAAAAATGTTGTTGAAGGAAAAAGAAAACAGGATACAATAGGCTATTCCTCTTGAGTAGTTCACAGACGTTCAGGAAGAAGCAGATCTGTATAGTCTGAAATATCACAAATAAAAAGTACAAGAACATACGTGCATAATAACACCTATTTTTTTAATGTATTTTTTTTTATCCATACTTACTTGCATACACAGACACTGAAGCAGAAAGTTTACAGGCATATAAGCCAAACTTAAGCCCAACAGTTAGCTTTGTAAAGAAAGACGGAATATGACTGGGTGAATGGCCAACAGGTTTCCATCACTTGACAGTTTTTACAGCATCAGTATTTCCAGATCTTATAAACACACTTAAAAATACATTTTAGGTGGCTGTGGTGGCTCACGCCTATAACCTGGGCACGTGAAAACTACTGATGCACGAAGGCTGGAAGGTGCTGGAGCCGGGCTGGGTTACACAGCAGAATACTGTGACAGGAACACTAGGAGGAGAAAGGAAAGAAAGGAGAGACAAAGGAAGGGATCTTAAAATCCTGTCAGATCTCAGGAGGTGTCTCAGCAGGTACCAGCCATGCAAACCTGGTGACTCGCAATCAATACCTGGAATCGATGGAGGAAAGAAAGACCTGACTTCCACAAGTTCCATACAGGTACCATGCACCACGTTGTGCATGCCTGCATACACACACACACACATACACACACACACACACACACAGATACTTACAATAAACAAAAATTCAAAATCTGTCTAATTTATTTTAAAAATAGATGGAGTAAAATTAAGATTGAAAGATAGCCAATTGACAATTAGATATTTAAGAACTTTAATAAGAAAAGGTTTGTAAAAATGAAGCAAGCAAAAAACAATAAATTGAGATGAACTGGGAAGAAAGGCATTAAATAAAATGGAAAACTCAAAAAACTGGTAATGGCAATGGCAAAAATAAAAACCAGTAAAGCATACTTCATGAGGGGAAAAAAGGAAAATTCTCTGGAAGCCTCACTGCTTACTCACAGTTTAGAAAAACTAAGAAAGACATGCAGAAGACAGATGTCACAACAGCTCCCATTTTCCTATGAAGTTCACTTTTCAGAAAATTACAAAGATAGGAATCTGGCCCCGGACTGCTTTCCCTGGTAAAACAGGGTAATAGGCTCCTGGCCTGGTACAGACCTCGGCAGAAAACAACTGAATTACAGCAAAATCCCTGATGTTGTTTTGAAAAACACATCGAGGGGAGGAAGCAACACAGCAGAAAGATGGCCTGGAATTTTTTGCTTGCAACCTTTGGAGGAATTAATCAGAACACCAATAAGAAAAAAGCTTCCCATATGCCTGCCCGGCACGCTTGGCTGCTGCTGTTTAAGTATAGTAGGAACACAAACAAGCTTTTGAATAGACAGTCCTCACCTCAAGAGTTCTACCTGTAGGACAGGCAAACTGCTCCTTTGATGGAGCCTATAGGCAGCCTTCTGAGAGTCCGATGAGAACAGCCAGCTTCGGTCATTTGAACATGGAGCATCAACTAACACCTGGAGAAAACAAAGCCAAACAGCGCGAACATACTTAGGATGAGGAATATGGCACAGCTACATGACAACCAGCATGTAAACAAAACCCCTGCCTTAGGGATCCAAACATACGACATGCTAAGTCCTTTGATGTACTTGTCTCTGAGAGTTCACCAAACATTTTCCTAGGCAATGTTAGTGTTTGTTTCCATGCAGAGAGGGGGCATTAATGATATAAGTTTACTGATGTCTAGTATTTGAATTTAATATTCTCTTTTGTTTGGGGTTTTCAAGACAGGGTTCCTCTGTGTAGCCCTGGCTGTCCTGGAACTCACTCTGTAGACCAAGTTGGCCTTGAACTCAGAGATCTCTCTGCCTCTACTTTCCATGTCCCGGGAGTAAAGACATGCACCATTACGCCAGGCTGAATTAATTGAATATTCTTGATGACTACAAATGAGACTTACAAAAGTGACTCATCTTCAGAAAACATAACTGTATTTCTGGACCCACAGTATTTCTTTATTTCTTTTTCCTTTTTTACCCAAGTAAAATTATACATTGTTGGGGGTGGAATCCAGGGCCCAATGTTTATTTTTAAGAATTAAAAAAAAATAATTTTAATTTACTGAAATGGCTTTTCTTCGTCTATCTTACTCTGATATGAAGTATTCTGAATTATAAAATGTACAACTATTGTTACTGGTTCGAGTGATAACTGATCATTTCCAGAGTAACTCTGAGGTACCAGGAAACAGAAAACATTCTATAATCCCCAAATCCAATGTCACTGTTTCCACTGAACCATACTAACCATCAAATGAAAAATGCCTCCACATCCAGTTTGTCAAAATCTCCCAGAACACTGAGAAAGTGTACCATCTGGAAGCGGAAGGCGAAGAACAACAGAGCATCACAATACCGTATCACTAGGCGTCCGTCAGCTTTTTACAGTACAATAAAAGTACCTTGTCAAACGTTTCAGGCCGGGCATCTCCCATCTCTCTGCCATCCGATTCAGACACTTTAATTACATTTATCAAAGGCTGTGGGATGAAAGATTCCAACGTCTGTCTCAGCCATCTCACTCTCAGACTATCATATTCGTTACAAAGCAGATAACCTAAATGTAAAAGATTAAAAAGTTCCAGAGTAGTCCGAGGCAACAGAACTGGGAAAGTTTTACTTTTTAACAAATAGACTTCAGAAAAATCCATCCTTTTATGATATATAGAGATATGGCTCAGAGGTAAACATTATGATAACTTTAAAAACAAAACCACATACTTTATTAAATATTTGCCATGTTAAGCCTCCCAGCCTCCCAGAAGCGCTCATGTTTATTCAATCAAGTTTAATTTGTGATGTGAAACTTACAGATTCCTAGAGGTGCGGCACAGCCATTACCTCGTGGATAATTTTCACCCTGAAGTACCAGCTGTGGAGAGTAGGCAATATATTCTGATAGGTGTGTAAAGTTCCTTGCTGGAACATTCATTTTAAATGAAGGAAAGTAATACAGTGTCAAATAAGATGGATAAGAATATAAGCTACTGGTAAGGAAAACATGGGTTTAAATTGTGAGCTGAAAGCCTCGGACAGTTACTCTGTGACTGCCTTTGTTACCTTGTGGCGACTGATAAGATGGGGATCATACCTGCGCAATATGATTAAATGGGACAGAAACTCAGAACAAGATGGTGGCTGAAGAAATGGTGGCCTCCCCACAGAGACACTGGTTTAAGGGCACAGGGAGTCAGGTAAGAGGCAATGTTTGGTCTTAGCACGGAATAAGAAGAGCTGCGGTGAAGAATGAAAGAGGTGTCCTTGTCCATACCCTTCCAGTTCTAGGCAGTGTGATGAGAGGCTCCTCTTACTTGGGGGAGGGGAAAGGAATCAAGTCCAGACTTTGACTTGAAACCCAGTAGCATAACCCGCCACAGTGGAACCCTGTGCCTACTAATCTTATAGCTCTTACACCGGGCTACTGCAGACTGTGACTGTGGGTTCTCCTTAGGCAGGCAGGTGCTGACACCACCCCTCCAACAACCCTGGGAAGCAGAGTGAGAAACCAGACTCGGAGTATTAGAAGGGTTGTGGATATAGGTGGATAGGTCTGTTTGGTATGGTGCTTGTAGCATTGTTTGTTATCTGAGTTAGTTGGAGTCAGCTGGAGTTAGGAATGTTTCATCCCTTGTAAAAACCTGTTAAAGAATTCTAGATCCTTCATTCTTTCCCATGTGATGTTTCCTATGCTGTTCAAATAAATTCAGAGCTAGGTTTCTTCTTAGGGATACAGCCATGGACACAGACACAAGGACAGACAAGATAAGACAAGCACAGATTCAGATTTATATAACAGATTACAGATAGAAGAGATGATGGAAGACACAGGGAGAGAGAAGTGGGCAATTCAAATCTGAGCTCGCTCTTGGTAAATCTATTCCAAGGCCAGGATTTTGATTTCTTTTCCTTAATACAATACACATTCATTTGAGGTTGTTACTGCTGTGATAAACTGATGACAAAGGACCCAGTGCCAGGCTAGTACAACTAACACCAGGCAGATCTTAGCAATCCCAGTCCTCAGGCTGATGTCCATGGACAGAGCTCCTAAACTGTCTGAATGCCACCATCAGGTGAACTTGTAACTTATCCAGCATCTCTTATGGTTGGATATAGATGCTCTGGACCATGAATAGACATAAATCCACCAAGGAACAGACAGTAAATAGCAATGCCGGTCTTAGTGTCCCTCTGTTATGATGGTCTTAGTAGCCAATATACTCTGTGCACAGTGTTTTTAACCATGGAACTGCCAAATCCATTTCTTCCCTGACTCCAGACAAATAGGGGGAGCAGCTGTCCACTTCGTGGCAAGTAAAGGGAGATACTGGGGTACTGAGACGGTCAGTGAGTAAAGGATTTGCCGCTAAGCCTGACAACCTGAGTTTGAGCCGTGGAGCACAGAGAAAAGGAGGCCTTTAATTCCTGAAAGTTGATCCCCAGGAACACAGGAGGGGAGGAGATAACTGACTACTGCAAGTCATAAGGTGACTTCTATAAGCGTGCCCCTGCAAGAGTACACGTATAGGTAGGTAAGTAGGTAGGTAGGTAGATAGGTAGGTAGACAGATAAATAGCTAGGTGTTGTTGATATTTATTTAAGGAGATATAAGGGAGTATACATTAATCCACCAAATAAAGTGTGGCACAGAAATAGATATAGCTCTATTGCCTGTCCATAAGCCAGTGACTGCAGCTAAGGCTACCCCAGCTTCGGAGTAAGATTTGTAATGACAAACTACTACATTTAGGCACTCCTCTAGTTCATTCTAAATTACATACCTACTGAATACACGTGACAAAATATGGTTTGAGGACTCAGGGAGCTGAACCAGCAGCTACAACAACAACAAAAAACCCAACAGTGGAACTGTGATAAACCTAGACTCAGGATGCCATCTAGTGCTGAAATACCAGAAAGGTCCACAGACTCACACAAACCACTTAGAACTCTGAAAGAGCAGGCACAAACATAGCTAGATTATAAAGACTGGGAGAAATAACTAATGTTTATGCACGGCCTATGTCATGAGTCAAGCACCAGAATTCACAGAACCACGACAACGTCCGATGGATAAAATAAGATAAGAAACCGACCATAAAACAAACTGTCCCTGGCTAATGGAAAGAGCTAAAGGTAGCACTTTTAGGGAAACTTGGTAAGCTTCAGAAAACTCAAGAAAAATGACAGATTAAAGCGACTTTTAGAAATATCAAATATTTAAATGCAACAGAAGGCAGAAATAGCAGAACAGATCAAACAATGACAACAACATTCCAGTTGCCTTGAAGTCAGAGTATTTGGAAATATACTGTTGGGGGAAAAAAGTAAGTGAAAAGGAAAGAGAGGAAGAAAGCTGTGAGAATTTGGAGTTACCACGGAAAGAGCAAACGCATGAGTTGCAGGGGTTCATGAAGGAAGTGAGAATGCCAATGAGGTAGAGCAGACTTCACGAGACCCCTCCCCAAATCCAGACAACGAGACAGAAATTCAGATGCATGGATGTCAATGGTCACATCGGATCCAAAGCAACCAAATTCACCTTGAGGTATATTATGATTGGGCTCAATAAATAAATAAACAAACTAATAAATAAATAAATTGGGCTCAGACTGAATAAAGAGACAATACTAAAAATAATAGAAATGTGAAAAAAAATTCCAGCAGATATGAGGGAGTAGCTAAAAGGGCAACTACCACTAAACAAAGGGTTCATTCTAGTATTTCCTACCAGCAAAGGTTAACCAGATGTCTAAACCTTACCACTGACCACAAGAAAAATTTCACTCTAGAAGGACTCCTGTCCTCGTGGAGAAGCTTGACCATGCCACTCCATTAAGCACATCACCCCTTATGAACAGCTCATATTTTACTGTTTAGGGTCATTGCTTTCTCTCTTTTTTTTTTTCCTCTTTCTTCAGTAAAAACCAGCACACCGCAAAACCTGTGCTAATGTAAATAGTAATAATTTTAAAAAGTCAGTCCATCACTGTGGTACAGGTGAAAGAAATACCACATCTTTCTGGATCAACGGGCAGACAAGCAGACTAATGCTTTAATTACATTAAACCCTTATGTCATCCAAAGCCACAGCCTCGTTGCCTAAAATAATGTCCAAGGTAAAGAAATTCAGTGCATAAATCGCATTTAGTATGGCCTTCATTTTAAGTTTTGCTTATGGAAGCACTGACTAGCATTGCTTCTGTATTCCACATTTGAATAGTGTGGCTAACTTAATTTGGGTTTTCAACATCACCATGAAGACATCAGTGCCTGGGAGGGAACCATTATCATTAGTCTATTTGATGAAAAGCTGCTTCATTTGGAAACTAGTGGTAGTTCCCTGTTGTTGAGGAAGACTTGCCCTATCTTCAAAGTCCTAAAGTGATCAGTTTATAACCTTTGTGTTTCCGAGCCAATTATCTTCATCACTACAAATGTGTAAAGTATCTCTAACCTATGAATGAGGTGGCTTAAAATTAAAATGCAACTTGTTAAAATGGAACTAGACTCAGGTATTTCTCTCCCATTTCCTACAGTATTACATATTCTATATCTAAAATTAATAAGCTTGTAAGAGTCAACTAAGAACATCATCAAGTAACATAGAAAGAGTGGGTGTAAAACAAATACTCCTTATAATAAATGAATTCACAAAAGCACAAATTATAAAAATAATAATGTAGCCTTACAATTTACTTTTTATTTCTTATACCAAACACATAAAGCTTTAGATGCAGTGTTTTATCAGAAATCTAAAACATACAGTGTATTTTTTTTTCTTTTAAATATTAATACATCTGTACCACAGCCAAGTACAACTGGCTTCACATTTTGAAAATGCTTCCAAAGGAAGAAATAAATTAGCAGTCTACACGCCAGAAGATGCACATCCTAGGGGAAAATAATACCTTTCTAAGAGACAGGCAAGCTTGGAGGATCTGAAGAAATTGCTGTTTAGATCATCCACTTCCTACAGGCATCTCCTTCCACATGGCCACTCACCAACTTTATAAATAATAGCAAGCTTCTCACTCATACATAATCCGAAGAAAATATGCTAGAGTTTTGAAACCTCCAGTACAGTAAAGAAGTAGAGTTTAAAACACTAAGAGGCTGGAGAAAAGGCTCAGCTGGTCAGAGTTCTTGCTGCTCTTTTAGAGGACAAGAGTTTGAGTGTGCACATCTGGTGGCCCGCAGCTGCCTCCATCTCCAGTTCCAGGCTATCCAAAGCTCCTTTCTTACCTCTTTGGGTACGTGTGTGTGTGTGTGTGTGTGTGTGTGTGTGTGTGTGTATTTTTGCATACACCCTACACCCCCACACACACACATGCAAAATAAATCAGAAAAAAAAACAACAACTGACTTCTTTGTTGAAAGAGTGATGTGTTAACAACTAAGCAAGCAAGTAAGTGATTGGACTTGAAACTTACTTTAGAAAAGCCGAGAACATTTTAAAGAATGCTCACATAGGCAATCATTAAAATAATGCCCGCTGCCCCTGGTAGCTTGCAACCATAACTCGAAAGGAATTTAAGCAACCAATGTAACCAGTATAGCAAGGCTCTCAGAATTTCAGTTTGTTTTTTTTTTTAAATCAGTGTGAACAGTAAGTAAACCTAAGATCATAAAATACAACCAAATTGAACTGGAACTGAACTATGCCTCATCAAGCAATCACTAACATTCAGAGAAACATGAATTAGGGTTTTAAAAGTTTTAGCAAAATGATCACTAACATTATTAAGAAAGTAATTTATAATGACAAAGGTTTATTTTATGTGTGCATGTGTGTACTCATGTTCATGTGTGAGCACACATGTGTGGCTAAGCAAGTATGGAGAGGGGACAGAGGTTGACTTTGGGTATCCGTCTTTGTCCATAGTTCTCCACCATAGAGACCTTCCTGGGTCCTGTCAGTGCTAAGAGTACACGAGCAGGCAAACATGTACAGCATTTCCTTTTCAACATTGAAACTGTGAATCCAAGTTTATTAGGTCCTTATGTTTACATGGTAAATACTATACTGACTAAGACAGACCCCCAGCCCCTGGACTTAACACCAATATCAGCAACAATAACAAAATCACTATAAAAGAACTTACTTCACGGTTTAATACTACCTTTCTCTCCATATGTGGTTATGAGAAATTGACCCGTGTTCTAAAAGTAAAACAACTAATTTCAAAGACCTCGAAGAACAATGAGAGTATAAAATACTTCTTCAAATACTTTCATTGTGATTATGTGCTCAAGGGTCATAACCTTGGTACTTCAAAAAATGTCAAATTAATTTTACCTCTTACTACTTTTTTAAATGAGAATATTCAAAAAATTGAAGTATTTTATGTGTTACATAGTATCCATCTACTAAACAGAACTTGTTTAGAACCATATGGTCCAAGAAATAACACAACAAAGTGGTTTTAAGTGGAATTTTGTGTGTTTGACAAAGAGCTCTGACAATGGCATCCAGGGAACCACTCAAGTGTAAGGAACTCGGTGGCAGAGTACTTCCTTAGTCTGAGAGGCAATCTGCATGCCTTCTCCAGTATTCCTCAATTATGTTTTCCGTTCTTACTCATGGTGTCCTAACTCGTATTCGGACTCCCTAACTCTGCATACCCATGCTCACATTTCCCTTCATCGATTTCCAAAGCGTCTGAAACCTGCAGGTGTGACAACTGTGGGGTGTGGCAAGGACAGACAGTACCTGGGGAAGCACACTGCAGCAGGGCTACTGATTTGCCTCCAGGAGCAGCACACAAGTCCAGAACGGTCTCCCCGTCCCTCAGTTCCAGAGCCAGTACTGGGAGAAGAGAGGCAGCGTTGAGGAGGTAGTACTTCTTCAAGCTTCCAGTCTGATGTCTCTCTGAAGGCATTCGATCTGGAGATCGGCTGAGGTAACACGTCATTGATTTAGGATAATATGGTAAGGACCCAGGAAGGATTGTGTGATAGCCCCTCAAATGTAAGTCCTTTTCCAGCTCAAAGGGATAATTGAATCGGTTGAAGAGGACTGCATATTGCCACAGTGATGGAGATACTAGAACATCCCTATAGCAGAAAAAGAGCAATAAATGAGTGTCAGTGTCATGAACTAGTGTACTCATATGATTAATAGGGTGAATGTGGTCCTAGGATTACAATCCTCTACCTGTGATTTTTCAGACAGGATCTGTAATGGTTAGTCTGGACTGCCAGTGTTACAGAGCTAAGAAAAAAAAGCAACTATATATATTTAGTGATACACTGTTCCGTATGTGTCTATGAAATGATCAGTTCATGAGGCTCTACCTAATCCAGAGATTAATCCCTGCTGGGTTTCTACACTCTGCCACAATGGGGGATGATGAAAAGCTGGATGTGAGGCTTGGTTGGGAGGTACGGATCACTGGGATGGGGCCTGGGAAGGTAGATTTTGCCTCAGCCCCTCCTATTCCCTTACCTCTATCCAGGCCCTGTGAATGGCTTTTTCCACTTTGCTCTCCCCACCCATCATGAACTAACACTTCTCAATGCATGAGCAAAATAAACCTACCACTTTCCATCATTTCCATAGCTACTGGCCTAGCAACCCAAAAACCTAATACAGGATGGGTCTTCCCAGCTTTTCCTTTTGCCTCATAAGGTCATGATGTGGCCAGCCTGACTTTACTTAAAAATATAATTTAATTAATTAATTAATTAATACACTCTGTTTTAATATTAATTTTGATTAATGTATTTGGAATGGAAAAAAGATTGGGAAGAAAGCAGAGGGTAAGAGAACTTTCTTTACAAACTGAGGATACTTGCAGCTAGGTACAAAGTCAGGCATGGCTATAACCTGTGCTATAACTTGGCGTTGTGTGCCTGTAACCCCAACATTGAGAGGTCAGACATTGAGTCCCTACCAGTCAAGGGCAAGCTTCGAGTTCAGTGGCAGACTCTACTGAAGGCTTTAGAGCAAAATGCAATAGACGAAGACGCTTGAAGTTCTGCTCTGACCTTTGCATGCATGTACTCAGATACACACAACCACACAGGCAAGAGCAACCACATAGTCACATGCAATGCACCAAATTCCCCCCCCCACACACACACCACGTGTTCTGTGGTTTTTAAACTGCAGACCATAGAGAAATGCTCTACTTACCTCTGCTTCCATACCCACTGAAGTCTTGCCCTCCAAAAGTGGCTTGCCTAGAATTTACATAACTTTGCACCTGCCACAGAGCAGTTTTGTTGGGCATGGAGAGATGGCTTAGTAGTGGTTACAACTGCCTACCAGTCTTGGAGAAGATCCACATTCATTTCTCAACACCCACATGGAAACTCACAACTGTCTATAGCTCCATTCTTGGGGATACAATGCCGCTATCTAGCCGTGCAGGCTTCTGAACACACATGGTGAGATACACATGTGCAGGCTCATACTCACGCACATAAATTAAAACAATACTTTTTAAATAAAATAAAATCCAGGAAAATAGTTTTTAATCTGTCAGTATTTGCACAAAAGGTTTTCTTTAGTTACAAAATTTAAGGTCAGGGAGTGACTCAGGGAAAAGTAATGTCATAAAAATAATATATTTGAAGGAATAAGCACTAAGCTCTTCTCCAACAAGAATAAGGGATTTGCAAAGCCAACTTTGGTCAACTCTTCAGTAATAGAATTAATCAGGTGACACAAGGTTCAGATGATGTAGAGCCAAGGATGTGAAAACCTCCCAAGGATTGATATGTAGCCAGACCTTCTGTATTCCATCCACCATTAGGTCTTCCAACAATCCCAAGCTCCCATCAACCAACAGACAATGCAGCAGGAAACAGTTCATTTATTTCCTAGCTGACCTTTCTGGCTGAGTTATTTGGAAGCCTCATTAACCATGGTCAATTAAATAAATTCCAGTTACTGCTCCCTCTGAAGTTGCTTATGTGAGAAATGGCTGGATTGAAATGTAACACCTGTGACGCATGCCTGCCACGTGAAATTCAATTACACATGAATTGTGGACTGCTTTTGCCTTTCACTGCCTCTTGCTTACTATGGGCGGTGCATCTAGTTTACTTACTTTGACTCTAGACCCTGTTTGGAGTTACCGAATCAGCAGGATAGGGCCTGCTATTTTTGTTTCATTTTAGGACAGCTGGTGACTTACTCACTTACCTGTGTGTGGGCATGCATGTACAAGCAAAAGTGCAGGTGCCTATACACCTCAGTGCCCCTGTGGACAACTTCTTGGGGTCAGCACTTACCCACCTCCCACCTTACCTGAGGCAGGGTCTCCCTTGTTACTGCGGCTGTACTTAGTAGCTCAGGCTAACCAGCCCTCCGGCTTTCAGGCAATTCCTCCTCCACCTCCTGTCTTGCTCTAGGACTACTGAGATTATAGGTGTGTGCTGTAGCACTCAGTGGATCTGAGCTACAGTCAGGCCTGCTTAGCGAGCACTTTTACCCACGGATCTATCTCCCCCACCCAGTGCTGTTACCAGCTTTGGTCAGAGCTTAGTTTTTTTCAGTGGTCAACAGTGAATGTTGATTCCTGGCCAGAGTACTAAGAATAAGTGACTGCTGAATTTCAGGCTGTAAATGACACAATTGTATCACAGTCTTCCCAGGGCTCAAGGAACATTTTGGAAGAAGCAGAAGAAGAAAGATGGGTATAGGTGTGGATTGCTGACTTCCTGGCATGAGATAGCTGTTGTGTTCTTGGACTCACAGAAGAGTAATTCCATGCAACAGATTTACACAAGATTGAACCAGTCAGCGCCTTGTTATAGAAGGGGAAGAGACTCATGAAGACTTATACACAGCTAATGGTGTGTGTGTGTGTGTGTGTGTGTGTGAGAGAGAGAGAGAGAGAGAGAGAGAGAGAGAGAGAGAGAGAGAGAGAGAGAGAGAGAGAAAGATTTTCTTCATTGCTGGAGCCACTGGTATGCTGCCCAAGCTTCTGCAAGTTGTAACCCGTGCCCCAACCGATAACCCTAATGATATTTATTAGGTCACACACTCAGACACTTGTACACACACACACAAACATACATATAAGACATGAAAGTAGAGCCAGGCATTGGTGGCACATGCCTTTAATTCCAGCACTTGGGAGGCAGAGGCAAGCAGATCTTTGTGAGTCTGAGGCCGGCCTGTCTACAAGAGCTAGTTTCAGGACAGGCTACAAAGCTACAGAGAAACCCTGTCTCAAAAAACAAACAAAAAAATAAATAAATAAAAAGAAAGAAAGAAAGTAGAAGTGTCACGAGTGGAATGGGAACAAGAGAAGGTAACAGAGGTTATGAATATAGTCAAAATATATTATGTACATGTATGGAACTGTCATAATGAAACCTATTATGCATACTTAATATATGCAAGACCCTGTTTCAAAAACCAAAGCATAAATATACCCAGGGAAACATGACTATATTGGATTTGACACCTGTCACTGTTCATTTAGAGCTCATATTAATGATTCTTCAATAAGTAGAAATACATTATTCCTTTCTTTAACTTTTCCATTATATTTTATGCTTCAAATCCTTTTTATTCTTTTTTTAGGTTTTTAGTTTTTAGTTTTTTTTTTTTTTTTTTTTTTTTTTTTTTTTTTTTTTTTTTGAGACAGGGTTTCTCTGTGTAGCCCTGGCCTGCCTACCTGTCCTAGAAACTTTCTATGTGGACCACCAGGCTTACCTCAGACTCACAGAGATCCACCTGCCTCTGTCTCATGAGTGCTGGTATTAAAGGCATGTGCCTCCATGCCCAGCTTTTAATCCATTTTTATTCACAATTTTATCTACACGTTGGTGGCATGCCCATTCACATACACACTTTGCATGTAGTATAATGTTTGCTTTCCTTGTGGTTTTAAATATAAGTGTAAAAATAGTAATTTCTAGATTTTATTGTCAATAACCAGTGCAAATTTGCTGAAAATCTGATATTTATTAACTATAAGTAAGTCTGATAGGAAGCTGGTATCTTAGTGAAATAAGTGCTGTGGAACAATGGTCTGTACTCTGTCACTTGTATTTTCATAAAATGCTGATTGGCCAGTAGCCAGGCAGGAAGTAGAGGCAGGACAACAAGCACAGGAGAATTCTGTCTGTAGTCATCACACAGAGCACGTAAGACGAGAGCACCTCACTGATATAAGTGACCAAGCCACATGGCTAACATAGACAAGAGATGTAAGAATTAGTTAAATAAGAAAAGCCTAAGCGTCTAGGCCAACGAGTTTATAATTAACGTGGACCTCTGTGTGTTTCTATGGGACTGAACGATTACGGAACCAGGGAGGACAGAAACCTCTGTCAACAAATAAGCTTTTGTTTCCACATATCTATAGATGCTTATTTTTTTTTTCCTTTTTGCTAGAATGATCCAGGGTTCAAGATCAATTTTATACCTATTTTGGATTTTTATAAAGCAGAAAAGGTTCCCACTTAGGTCAGTTAAAAATGGAATGTTTTGTAAAATTAAATACACTTGCCAAGTTTCCCTCCTTGAATTCTTCTGAATTATGTCTCCAAAATTGCTACTGATCCATCACCAAAAATATTTTAATGAGCTGTCAATTGCAGCTGCTTAGTTTTGTTGAAATCAAGCCCTGGAAAACATCTCAGCTGTCAAACAATTTTCCATTTACTTTCTAAGTCCTGATGTTGACATCCCATGCCTTGAGCATATGTGGATTTTTTTACCCTAGAGAGATGCTTGATAGAGCTTGGATAAATAGCTCAGAGATTAAGCATTTGTTGTTCTTATAGAGGTTTGGTTCCTCGCATCCAAATGGTGGCTCCCAACCACCTGTAATTCCATTTCCAGTGATCTGATAACCTCTTCTGACCTGAAACACTAAGCACTCACACGGTACACATATACAGCCATGCAAGCAAAAATACTCATACACATAAAACAAACTAAGTAAATCTAAAACATAATTTTCTAAAAAGAAGAAGAAGAAGAGGAGGAGGAGGAGGAGGAGGAGGAGGAGGAGGAGGAGGAGGAGGAGGAGGAGGAAGAAGAAGAAGAAGAAGAAGAAGAAGAAGAAGAAGAAGAAGAAGAAGAAGAAGAAGAAGAAGAAGAAGAAGAAGAAGAAGAAGAAGAAGAAGAAGAAGAAGAAGAAAGGAGAGAAAATCCTGACTGTATGGTATGGAAGTCAGGGTAAATAAAGCATGGCTCTCTTTGTAAGTGTACACAGCATAAATGTAGATTCTGCTTTGTTGCAGTTTTTTTTTTTTTTTTTCTGGTAGGAGAACCAGAGAAAGGCACGTTGGGAAGTACTGGTTTAGGTAGACGGGACGGCGCTCTTCTGAAGGGGCTCAGAGACTGCTAAAACCTGCTATGACTGTCTATGCCTACGAAAGTCTTTGATTCACATTTCTTATGCTTATACAACATGCCAAGTCATCGTTGTCGTCTTGCTAAGATTTCTTTATTCATGCTCTAAATGAACACTACGCTTTGGCCATATGCTATTATATAGTCACAATATAAAACTGAATGTTTAAATCTTATGTAAAGTGACTTTAAAAGACAATAAATAAAACTTTAACTTGAACACAGTACTAATGTTCTTACTGTCCACTAGAGGGTGCTCACTAGATCACTTTAAAGGCTGGGCTCAGAAAATACAGGCCACATGGAAACACACTTAAGTTGTTTCCAAGGCATTTCATCTTCGTCTTTATTTTTTCAGTGGTTTTAACAAGGAGCTAAAGGCTTCTCACCTTTTCCTGGCAATGCTTCCTAGGAGTTGTCTAAGACCACAGGTAAACACAGATACTTACACACTATGATTCATAACAGTAGAAACAGCAACAGAAATAACTTCAGAGATGAGGGGATCATCACAACATGAGGAACTGTATTAAGGAGTCACAGCATTCAGAAGATTGAGAACCAATAGTGTATATATTTATGAGAATTCATTTCCTCTCTTAAATAACAATGGAATAAGTCGGGCGGTGGAGGCACACGCCTTTAATCCCAGCACTCCGGAGGCAGAGGCAGGTGGATCTCTGTGAGTTTGAGACTAGCCTGGTCTACAAGAGCTAGTTCCAAGACAGGCTCCAAAGCAACAGAGAAACTCTGTCTTGAAAAACCAATAATAATAATAATAATAATAATAACAACAACAACAACGGAATAGATACTATTTTGCTTGTCTTACAGATCAGGACAATGTGCAGTGATTTTCAATAACTCATCTAAGTGATATGCTACAAGATGCTGAGAGCTTTGAACCCACACTCCTAACTAGTAGAAGGAAGGCACGGTATACCTGGCAGAGGGGACATCATATCAAGTACCAAAGGCACAAAAGAGCCTCTTTGCTCCTATCATTTTGCACATGGTGAAGGCAAACCTGTGGGTGGGGTGACATGCTAGAACATGGCAGCTCTGAGAAGCAGCTTGACAAGAGTGGTTAAGAATAATCCACAAGTTCTCTCCAAATACATGGGATGTATGCCTTCTCAAGTAATTTGACCTCTGCACGTCTATTGGTGAGTGGAAATAACTGTACCTCAGAGGGCGGGTGTCAGTTTAAAATGATGAGAGCGCTACCTGGAACACACTGCCGTGACAGTGGAGGCTAAAGCAAGCCACCAACAAATACAGAAGTTAAAAGATGATGGAGACAGCAACATGCCAGAGAGACCTAAACAGCGATGACAGAGAGAACTTCAAGTGTATCCAAATAAAAACATGTCTTAGGGAGAGGCAACAGCCCTCAGCAGCCAATTTCTCTTTCTCTATGGGAAGGAGTGATCTCTGAGAATATACAGATAGAGTTGCCAAGACTATGTAGTTTCCACAACACCTACAACTTCAGGGATCCCAGAGGTCACACCCAGAGTCAAAAATTCATAGAACACAATGAAAACGGCTGTACTCGCAATCAGGAGCATTAGGGACCACAGCAAGAGCACTGAAGCTCAAATATATCATGGGAAGAGACAAGTCACAGGACTCTGTTGGCTCCAGTAGCTCAGAGAAGTCTAGCTTTTCCTGGCAGCAATGTGGGGTAATCCTGCCAACCAAGGGTGCTCACAGAAACTTAGGTACCCAGCTGTTTTGCAGATTCTGCCATGAAGACCTAACTGACAGTCCTTATAGTCAAGTTTAATTAGTCACCAACCTCCCCGGGATGTTGTTCCTTTATCTGTGGTCTAGAACACCCTCTGTAAATCACACGGCTAGACTAGCAGGTGTGGCCCAAAGCCCCAGAAACACATCTCAACACCTATCAGGACAGTAGTAGGACACATCAGGGGCTTAGAGATGAGCTGAGAAAAAAACACCAGACGTACTTCCCAGTAACCTTTCTTCTTTATTACAGAGATCCTAAGGGTCTAATGGAGTAAGGATACAAGACTGGCAGTAAGGCCCCCAGAGGAGGAATGTAAGTCAATCCTGAGAGCAGCATAGGGTTAAAGAGAACAATAGCATGCATGCGAGTATGCTGAGCAGGAGGGCAAGAGTAACTGCTGGAAAATGCAGGTAATGCACTGAATCTGAAAAGGAAGTGCGGAGTGTAGGAAGACAACACGTGGAGGAAAGGTTAAATAAAGCTCTACTGGGAATGGGACTTTCTTGAAATTAACAAGCTGGAAGCAAGTACTGCAAAAGCTGAAGTATGAACACCCATTGCTACAGAAATCTGAGAAACATCAATCACTTTCTAGATGAGAGGTAGGGCAATGCTGAAAGAAAAATCCTTACAGGACATATGTTTGCAGACAGTTATCAAACAAACATGTCATTCAGTTCTCTTCCTAGGCTGCCTTCATGGTCAGCCTTTCTAAGAAAGCTCTCATTTTCCGAAAGCAAATTTAGTACATGTTTATGCAAAACTTAAGTTACCATGAAATCCTACCAAAAGGGGAGATGGAACAGAAGGCACAGCTAATTAAATGGCTTTGAGGTTCATTGCTCATTTTGTTCAGGGTCAAATAGTAATTTATATGTCTTTCTGGGTACACGAAGTAGAAAATCAACTCATTACAGGGTACGAATAACCAAGTTACTAAAAAGTCTCTAGACAAACTACTTCTCGCAATATTTTTTGTTTTCTATCACCCAAGTATGCTAATTATATCCCCGGGAGGAGACAGCACTGTCAGCAGTGGGGAATCACGACTAAGACAGACTGGGCAAAAGTCCCACCTCTACTTACTGACCAACTGAATGAACGAGAGAAATGACTTCAGCTGTATGCTATAGCTTCAGAAGAAACACTGAAAGCGAACCTGAAGTTTGTTCCGCAGGAGGACACAGGTAGGTGTTGTTTGCATACAATAGTCACGCAGGGGGTGTGGTTCTTTAGGTAGTCCATGTGAATATATTTCCATACTAAAAACCTCGTGAATTCACTATATACTTCACTATGCATTCTTGATAGGATCACTATGAAATGCAGGACTGTTGAAATAACTGTTGCATTTCCAATTATATTTATGTTTCCCAAATATCTAACCATCCTAAAATCACCTTGGACCCACTTCATATTTTATTATCTTTATTAATAAGACTTAATTTCTGTCTTGAAATATGCTTCAAACTGTTCTGTGAAAAGAAGAAATCTTAAGTTAATCTAAGACTTTAAAACAATCCTGAGAAGTTGCTGTCTGAGCTAAATTGAGGACTATCTACAGTCATACCACATTGTTCTCTTTACTGCACACAATACTGGGCAATCTCCGCCCAGCTCTTATTGTCTGGTTCCTTCTATCAAGTTAATTCCAAAATCACCAGTGTCTTTCACAGGCACCCACACACATCAGTAAATAAAATACGTCATTCTTGCTCCATGTTTCTGGAATGTTTCCCATGCCCCTCCCATTTACTTCTCCCATGAACAGACTGCATATAAACTACACAGGGGTATAAGGTTCTTGTAATCCAGGGGGTATCATATATACATATCAGGCACTCCATATAAAACCCCATTCACTATCATTCTGATCAAGATAATGTTTTTGTCTCTAAAAAAAATTACTGAATTTACTCCAGGGACATGGAGTATGAGTGAGCACGAAGCTCAGAGGACAACTTACAATGGAGTCACCCTTCTGGTCGCCAGCCTTCCCTCCTCACCAACTGAACCATAGCATCACACGGCCCACCGCAGACTTTTCTGCATTATATGCTTATTTTTAAGAAACACATTTAGACTTGTCCATGTGCCCATATGTTCCAAATACAGACATAACGGTGACTATGACTGCCAAATAGAGTATGACTTTAGCTAAGATAAAGGAGGACTGACTTTGAGGATTTGTTATTTTCCGAATTTCCGAAAGTGAAATTTCTTCAAGGGTAGGACTTTTGTTATGACACCATTTTAAAATGCAGTGCAGTTCCATTTTTACAGATAAAAGTAATTGCTTCGGAGGAGGGCGCTCATTTTTACTATCACTTCCTTTCTCCATGATTTGAAACCCATTTGTGGCCCGTACCTACAGTTCAAGCAGGAGAGAGCAGCTAGCTGATTCCTTCACCTTTATTTTGTTTTTTATTTTATTTTATTTTTTTCCGAGACAGGGTTTCTCCGTAGCTTTGAAGCCTGTCCCAGAACTAGCTCTCATAGCCCAGGCTGGCCTTGAACTCGGAGATCCATCCGCCTGTCTGTATTCTTACCATACCCTTCCTCCCAAAATGTGTATACTACATTTTTATCTGCATGGTGCCGCTCTCATCAAAGAGGTATACCACAAGCTCCCACTATTCTGTCAAAAACAGCAAGAGATGAATTACACTAACCTTACTGTACTCCAGGAATCCCCAAGTTCTTTGGAATACTGTTTGTCAAACTGGTCCAACACAACTCTGCATAGCTGTTTTGCGAGCTTCCCGTCTGATTTTGCATTCAGCTACGATGGTAAGAGAAAATTGCGAACGACACATTGTGATATTAACAAATTTATTGAAATTTGACATTAACATGACCTTAATTTTTTTGTTTACATCCGTATTTATTCGTTGAGCATTTCATTACGTATTCAATGTATTAATAACCATGCCCACACACGTCTCCAACTTCTCAGACTACTACCCGCGTACGGTTCTCTCCCAACTTCGTGTCCGTTTTAAAAATAATACATAAATGAAATGGGTGGGAAGAAAACTAATTCTCTTCCAGCGACAGTCACCTACTGCCAATAGCTACTCGGCCAAGAGAGAGGCTTCCTGTTTTTAAAGAACTACTTACTGCCTTGGGAGCAACACCTCCACCTCACTTGTGACAAAATTTTATTATTGATAGTCTACCTACTTATGAAAATGGCGTTTTTCAATGTGGTATTTACGCAAATGAAAGGCCCAGGTTAAAGGTGGATCTATGCTAAGAAAATTTCAGAAGGCATAAAAGTTTTGGGTTTTTTTTTGTTTGTTTTTTATTAAAGTACCACTGTGCAGATAAATCACCACGGCTGCGTTTCCGTGAACGTAAAATTACTCCCAAATGAAGTTTATTTATGGAAACAAACGTCGCCGTAACTTCCTGGAACTCGCAGCAACTGCTTCACTTATCCACCCACGCGCACCGAGGGCCGAGCCGGTTGGCAGAACTAGAGGCACCGGCATCCCGGCGCGAGGGCCGGCGCGGGCTCCAGGGAGCGCGGGCGGACGGAAGCACGAGGGACGCGTTCGGCACGGCTCCCCATCCCGGTCCGCCCCGGCTCTCCGCGGCTCCAGTCCCAGGCACCGCGCCCGAGGGCCTCACCCGAGTCAGCATGCTCCCGCCTGAGCTCGCAGACTACCGATCTTTCGCAGGGTTCGCCCAAGAACAAAGAGAAACGCCACACTTCCGGGTTCTGCTAGGAGGTCACGGTTGCCTTACAGTTCCTGTTTCCGTTCTCGCGACATTGTACTTTCAGTGCCCAAATCCCGCCGGAGGCAAAGGTCCCGCGAGACCTGCTCCGAGCGTCTGTTTAATTTGTGCTGGGCTAAGCAGAGAGCCTGGGTGTTCCTTCCCTGTGTCACCCTTCGCGTACGGACTTGGAATCGACAAACGATCTTTATCATTATTAGGCTGTCAGAGTTTTATAGCCAGAGGCATGGCAATTTATAAGAGCGAGCTCCACGTTGAGGGAAGCGCTAAAAGGGTTAAGTGGTGCTTTTCCTTGGGATCGCCTGAGATAAGGCAGCCTTAGAATGGGGAGTGTTAAATATTACACTGAAATACCGAGTGAAGTTCTCACTAGAGACTAGGAGCCAAAGCTAAAGGCTGGCAGATAGTGTCACCAGCCAGCACTGACAGGCACCAGACATTTGTGTCTGGGTGTATCAGCCTGCTGAAGCAGTGGACCCCAAAGAAATAGGAGAGAGGGGAACTTGTCTTGTAGAAGATTTTCAACAGTTGTAACATGTCATACCATCTTCTAACAAGAGGAGGTTAAAACCCAGATAATGATTGCCCCTTAGTCCCAGGGACCACGGATGTTTCATTAGGACTCCAAAGGCCAACATGGGGGAGTGTTTATTGTATCTCTTTGTTCCTTTTCCCAATATTCCTTTTTGTTCCTTTTTCCAATTCACATTCAATAAATTTTTTTTCTGCTTCCCACTTTCATTTTTGTTTTTTAAATAGGCTTATTGAGGGTAAGTGGATGGACTCAATATAATAGCTATTACATCATTGATGCTTGATTAATGTATTGTTATAACCAAGAATTGAGACCTAGGGACCATGAAGAATCTACCAAGCCACCAGCACATTCGACACGCAGCAACAACGTTGATTGTATTAGGAATTACCATCGATTAGCATTTTCCTTGTTTTGTAACAAACCCGCAATTTCTCCGGGATGATTTGGTCTCTTACAATAAGTAGGCATCATCGTTTTGAGATAGCAGTGGATGCTCAAAATGTCAGTAGAGGTATATGCAATAGGTAGGCGCTGGCCTCTTAACCCTGTTGCAAAGAAAATGGTCCTTAACGACCAATGTGATTTAAAGCTTAGCATGTTTATTTAGGTAAGTTTCTTAGAAATCTAAAGTGTCGCCTTAGAATTTCGATTCAGTGCAAAATAAAATACAATATTTGGTATGCAAATAATTAAATGAATACCACCTGTTGTATATTTGGGGAAAAATAATTCATCTACCTTTTAGCTGTAATAAGAAGAAAGATTTTTGTATATTTTCTTTGTTCATTATAAAATGTTTCAACCACTGAATTAATATACTAACTTTTTATTTGCAAAGTAGACCTAGAAAATAGGTAGCCTCATATTAGGATGTTAAACTTGGAAAGGTCCAATCTATTGGTAGACTAGTTTTGAACTACTGAAAACATGAGATAAGAAACAGAACCGACAATTAAGTATGAGAATTTAGTTTAGTGTTTCTTAGTTAATATTGTTTTGAGGTGGTGTCTCATGTAGCTCAGACTGGCCTTGAAATCACCAAGTAGTGAATTGATCCCCCTTTTTCCACCTTGAAGGTTTTGAGGCAATGTGTGTTATGCTTTTAGGATTAGGTTATGTAGTTGCTGGCACTGAACTATAGCATTGTGAATGCTAAAATGAACCACATCCCAGCCCCATTCGTTTTTTTTTTTTTTAATAATAGTTTCAAAGACTTGGTTGATTAATAAATTCAAGGATTAATAACACATCTAAGCAAAATTTTTTTTAAATTAAGCATTTTTATCATTAACTCATTTGACATAAGGAGTGCTTTTGGATATACTTAATAACCTATTTCCAACAATTTTATAAATTTTCATATTTATACAAACTATGTCTCAAACTCTTCTTGTTTATGGTGCCAAAAGGTAAAGAGCCACTGGATAATAAGGCCAGTCAGACATGTGTAAACTCATTGTTCCTTGAAGCCAACGGCAATCAAGGTTAGAGAACATAGTCCAGGCAGTTGTGGACTTCCAGTTCAGGTGAGACTATTACTTTAGGAGTCCAGGTATTGTGTAGAAATCCAAGCACACAATCCAGTATAGAAGTAAATATGACCTCTATTTTTATTCCGTTTTAGGACTTTTTGTTTGTTTGGTTGGTTTTTTGGTTAAACTTACTTTTGTAGGGGGCATAAAGTATGTTGTATAGGTAAGTATGAATGTATGTATTACTGATTAAATTTGTTCTAATACCTTCATGTTGATGTTTGGTTTTTGTTTTGTGTGTTTGGTTCTTGAAGACAGGTTCTCCCTGTGTAAGCCGGGCTGTCATGGAACCCATTCAAGGCTGGCCTTGAAAAGGAGATCCACCTGCCTCTGCCTCCTGGGATTGCACCACTATCCCTGGTTCACAGTTGAAGTTTTAATCCCCAGTGTCTTACTTAGGTTGGGAATGCCTTTAAAAGGGTTGATCATGTTAAAATGCTGTTGTGAGTATGAGTGCTACTCCAGGTAAGTGACAGTTTTTGAAAGGGATACATTGAGACACACTAAGGACAATAGAGAAACAGTAACCTGGCACTAAGGTAAAAAGCCTTTGAAAAAGTCAATCTTGCATTCACTTCGACCTTAAACTTCCAGCCTTCGGAAATCAAAGAAAACAACTGTTCAATCCACTAAGATGGCCATGCTTAGCTATGCTAACCCTAGCCCAATAGTAACAATAGGTGAAGAATAATATTCAATTGATCTTTGATAAAACATGTAATAAAAAGTTGAGGACCACTGATTCATTCACTGTGTTGTACACTGTTCCCTAAACAGTATATAAATGGAACTTACAACTGATAACTTATATCCTATTTACCCTTTACTTATAAAACTGAACCACCAATTAAAGGAAAAACTATTTCTCCTTTCCGTTTTTTTTTTTTATTGTTGTTGTTTGTTTGTTTCTGGAATGGAATAAGTTTCTCCACTTCTGTCTCTACAAAACAAAAAGATTATTACTATTTTCATCATCTCTGCCATACTTTAAAGCCTGCATTGTCTGAATTTACTCTCTGGATCAGATGATATATACCTCTCAATAAATAAGTATCAGCAGAACATCACTTATAGAGTATACTCTATTCAGATAAAAACAGGTAATAAAAGCCAGGTGGTAATAAGATACAACTATATTTATAAAGCAGTTTCTACTTTAGAAAACATTTAGTCGAATGGTGGTGACATATGCCTTTCATCCCAGCATTTAGGAGGTGGATTTTCTGTTAACTTTGAAGCCATCCTGGTCTACAGAGCCGAGTTCCAGGATAGCCAGGACTACATATAGAAACCTGTCTTAAAAAAAAAAAAAGTAAGACCAAACGAACCAATCAAAGAAACAAAAACAAACCCTTAAAGTTAAAAAAAGAAACAGCATTTAAATAACTATTAAAAATTATAAATTTGTTTGCCTCAGTACAAAAACAATTGAAAATTGGGGAAAACATAAATAAGATCTCTTGAAATTTCAGTTAGCATTCTGTACAGTTCCACACACCACATTCATTACATACAATACCATATATGTATTATATACATATGAATTACCCAGTAAGTGCACATGGAGTTTTCTTCTAAATAAAATAAAATATATCTTTTGGGAAGTAGAGTTAACAAAACACTGGGGTGACAGTAGCACAGACACACACACACACACACAAATCACAATGTTGTTTCTAACATCTTTATATAGTTTTCATATAAAAAAGAATTTACTACCACATGGTGGCTCACAACCATCTGTAATGAGGTCTGGTGCCCTCTTCTGGTCTGCAGACATACACACAGACATTGTATACATAATAAATAAATAAATAATTTTTAAAAAAAAGAATTTACTTTAATCCACCAATTTAACTCTTTCCATAGTAATAATGCAAAAAAAAATCAATTTGCTAAAGAAATTCATTCAAAATCAGGAAAGGAAAAGATACATGGGATACTGGTGTAAATTATTTTTTATTCTGTGAAATGTTATAATTAATGATGAATAAGAATGAAAATGTATAATATAACAAAATAAGCACAGAAGTGTTAAAATCTGAAAGAATTTACAAAACATCTTTTAGAGGATTTTTACACTGCTTTAAGAAACATATTATAGAAAACATCAATTCTAGTTTATGTTACATTCAATTTCAAAATCATTTTTATGAAATAGTGCCGGCAATTACTGTATTCTACAGTAAACATTGGTAGGAAGCAAGAATTTTTTTTAAAAAAATCTTTATTCTCAAAGCAGATGAATGTTAAAAGATAGTAAAAGTGCGAGTTTAGTTTTAAAAGGGAATTTAAATATTACAAAATGAACTAAAAAGATGAGCACTTGTTCCTCTAAAATCCAGTTCCAATTTAGCATCCTGTGTTCATGTGATTCTCCTAAAAAACCTAATTCTGCATATAGGTTTTGCATAGAAATGAAAATGCTTTTTTGTTGGTATGCAATGGAGGTACCCATGCAAAAACTCACAGAAACTCCACCAATGCTAACTAGAATAATGTGACCTAATTGATCCAGGTCCAGTGAGCCGAAATGTGAACACAATACCATGTAAACATTTAAAAGACAAATAATCATGACTATCTACCTTAGACGTACTTACATTCAGAAACCAGAATATGTCAATTGCCAGTATAAGGTACCACCAGTCTTAGCAATGTGATAGGGGAATTGTTCTTTATATTCACCTTGACTTAAAGGCATACTTTCAATTGAATATTACATTATGAATCTATTACTAACTGTAATCTCTAGAAGTTTTAGTAAAGTACAGATGAACAGGGAGCCTTATGAATGGCACTCAAGAGTAAAACAAGTGCTATCATTTGAAATAAAGAAGTCACGTTGGAATTTGCTCTTTATAAAAGGATTTGAGCAAACATTTTCACTCAAATGACTGTGTTTGCTGTAAAGCTGAACTCTCGAGACCCACAGTAACCTTTGCAGTCTTCTTACCTTTAAGT